CTTCACGTTTTTCGGGGCGTGTTTAGATCGCCATAATTATTTAGTAATTAATGCTAATTTGGAGCACAGAGTGAATGCTGCAGACTTACTTGAAACGATGTCGTAAACGACGGGAGTAAAGCGACGGGACAGTTAACACGACAAATCTATCTCATGCCCATCGGGAACAGTTGCCATGACAACGCCCGAAGCCGACAATGCCTCGTACTCTCATTGTTGGCTGTGAGCACTTCGCCTGGGAAGGCATTCAGCAAATTGCTATTCTTATTACGGAAATTTGGACTCATTACGAGAAAATGGGAAGACTTTCTCGGATTTTTTTAACCCAATAAGTATCGCCCCCCGGTCATAAGCATTCGATTGACACCTGCAGTTTTCAAAGAAGACACACCTAAGGAATTAGGAACTCCCAGAACTCAGATGGTGATGGTTCCCGTCATCAAGAACAGTCAATTTCCCTTTTGAAACAATATCGAGTGAGTTCTGTCTGAGGAGACACGATATTCGGATTTCAAACAATCACGCAAAAAAATCAATATTAAGGGATGGGATCGATCGCTAAGAAAACCCCAATCGCCTGTATGCCAACTTTTAGAGCTCCACGCAGTGACCTTAATGTAAAACGCACCGTTCTAACTTTAGAACGTTCGAGTAGAATAGAGGATGATTTTGAGGATAAAAAAAGAAGAGAATTCGCATCGGACTGTGCCGTCCTCGAAGGAACTGCACCAAGCGTCCGGCGATTCCGAGCCGCAAGTGGCCGTGTGGAGGCGAGAGCCATCGCCGAATCCATTGGGATTCCCGCAGCGGAATCTGACCTTTCCTCCCGGAGGTGCTGGGTCGTTTCCGGTCCGATCCGCGAGGGATCTTTGGGTGCTGTCGCGGGCACAGCCCTGCATTTCGAGAGAATTTCTCACTCAGCCACCACACTGAAAAAAATAGTCATGTGTTTTGACTCACATTGAACGCAGGACGTATAGCCGTTGGCTTCCGCGAGGTGGTGAAATGCGTCATGATACGCTTTCCGTGGCAAGCTACCAGAGTCCGTTCGATGGATCCCAACGAAACCTTCTCGTATCTCTGACCTGGGTGCGCCGCATAATGGATGGAATCCATAGAAGCGACGCCGAGCGCGAAGAGAAACCAAGTCATCGCGATCGTTTCGATGAAACTTTACGTTCCTGGAAACGAGTGACCTAGTTACTGATCCTAGGGCGATAAGGGACTGACCGGAATGCAATCTGGAGCACGATCTATAGACGAAATGCATTGACGTCACTGCAGACGTAAGTGGAGCCAAAGTATGGATACAAAAAGGTGGATAACTTCTCTCGGTCTCGTCTGTTTGCTTTCTGGTGGAGGGCTTCTGTTCGCGCTGTGTATGCATACGTCAACTGGGTCAACGTGTGTTGGATTGAGTCGCATTCGTTCTATTTTGGACGCTGGGAGGGTTTGCAAGAACTCCAAGGAAAAATGCTGATGTACTCTAGTTAATCATATTTATCTTAACATTTTTAGCATTGAACATTCGGTTTCTTCGAAGAATTCCGATTGCATGGAGAATATCAATGTGAATCGTCTTGTATTAAAACCCATGCAATCGTGTTCTGAATCTCGAATGCACACGCTAATAATTTTTCCGGACGAGGGTAGAAACAACGTTGGTGGTCAGGGGAGGAAGCGTTAGTTGGGGCTGACCGGGAGATATATGGCTTGTTGTAGTGTTGGCCGGAAAGTTCTTGCGGTTTCAGACAATATTTGAGAAGAAAAAAAAATTTTATTCAGCAACTATGCAATATTAGTCGACAATGCAAGCAGCATCGCGTTCCACAACAGGTCTCCATCTTCCGGCCGTGGTAGAACGATGAGGACTCAAAGAAATGTCGCAAGTAGCATTCGAGGTCTTCCCGGTCGTGGAACCTTTTCTCATCGAGGCGGTTCTGCAGGGCGCGGAAGAGGTCGTCGTCCGACGGAGCCAGGTCCGGGGAGTACGGCGGGTGCGGCAGAGTCTCCCATCCGAGGGCGTGGAGTTTCAGCCGGGTCATCTTTGCGGTATACGGCCGGGCATCGTCGTGGAGGAACGGCACTTTGTCGCGTCCCTGCCGAGTCCAACAGATGAATGGATTTCTCTCGTTCCCGTCTGTTTGCTCTCTGGTGTGGGCTCCTGCTCGCACTTTGTAGGCACACGTCAAGTTGGTCGGCGTATGATGGATTGTTCCGTATTCGTTCTATTCGGGTGCTGTGAGGTTTTGCGGGTCGAGTGGACCCGAAGTGGACCACGAATGGCACATGTGATGCACCAACCATAAGCTCCCGATCGCGTTAGCGCAGATTTTAGCAGAGGATTTAGACGAGAAAAGAAGTTGTCATTTTAATGTCGAGAAAAATTTTCCCCCGAGAGTGATTGAACCACCTTGAATGCTGGACACACGGACTGTTTTTGCTTTCGGGTTTGCACACTGTGCCCGAACTGAAGTGACCCGAGAGAGGGCGAGGATGGATTCCCGGTTGTCTTTTTCTCGCTTTTCGTTCCCTGGAGCGGGTTGCCTTCTCGCTTTTTGGCCTGTTGACGCCGAACTGGGGAAACAATTGCTGAGGTCCAATAGCCATTATATCCATTATATCCTTTATATTTCGACCATTATATGGTCGAAAGGTCGAAAGATATAAAGGATGTAAAGGATATAATAGAAGGAATATGACTGAGTGTCCCAAAAAAAGATTTGGCTTTCCAGTCTCGGTGACATCCCGAGTTCCCACGTATTCCAAACCCTTCTCTGACAGTCGGCATTTTGGATGCACGTTTTCCTTGGTTCCACGTTGAAATTCTCGGAAGTCACAGAAGATGATGTCGCAATATTCATATTTTGGAACTTTCCTCCTCCATTCCCACAGCAGGGAGCGACCGCTTTCCTGGAGTTCCGGCAGAAATTGTGATTTTCTTCCACAAATTTCAGATTTCCAGTCAATTCCAGTTGGATGGACCGAATGAAATAGATGTATATTCTGAAGAATCTGCACAGAAAGGCTTTCATCTCTAATGCAACATGTTCGCCCTGAAGTGAGTCCAGGAAGGGACGTTTAAATGAAAGTGCAAGATAAAAGAAGAGTGTAATGCACCTATAATGGATGTATTGTACTTGAAATGAATCATGGATTCCCACTTCTTGATATTTTAACATACAAGAGAGACAAGCATAAAATCTAAATTTAAAAAAGCATACGTTGCAATTCCATCAGGATAGGACCATCAACTCCCTTACGAAAATGTCCTATAGGAAACCTGTAGATATTTCTTATAGGAAACCCATAGACTTTCCTATAGGTTTTTGAAACATGAAAATCCTATAAGGTCTTATAGGTCTCCTGACCTATAGGATTCGGGGAGGATATATTGGGTTTCGAAACCCAGGAATTACGACGGAAAAGGCGACCGGAATTAATAATGGCGCAGCATTTCGGTGTAAATCTAAAACCGGGACACGTGCATTATTAATACCAGTAATGCGGGGGTCTGCATAATCAATGGCCCTGCCGGACATGTGTCGCTGGATTGCACGTCTACTTCCTTCGGTAGGATGAAGTAGTATTCCTCTCGACCTCAGGAAACAGAAGACATAACCAGCGATCACGTCTCTTTACTAAAACGTCTTTTGGATAGAGTCTGCTCAGTTTCGTACGTCGTTTTCAAAAGGAATGAGGGCATATTTCTTCACGGGACTCCATTATTATATCTGGAAAATGGGGATGACAAATAAGGAACTGTCGAAGTTTATTGATTGCTACAATTAGGCAAGGCGCGACATTTGCGGACGTACAAAACTCTCTGTGAGAGATGATTCCTTGGGTAAGGGGAGGGCACTTTATGCCCTTTGAGAAATACGAGAACACAATACATCCATCTAGTTGCCTAGTGGAGAACTTCAAACCGAGGCCCATAGGATTCCGTATAAGACCTATAGGGAACCCTCTAGGTCCTATAGGGAATCCTATTGGTCCTATAGCGAACCCTACAGGTCCTATAGGGAAAACCCTAGAGGTTTTATAGGGAAACCTACAGGTCCTATACAGGACCCTTCGTGTCCTATAGGGAACCTATAGGCTTTATGGGGAACCCTATTGGTTCTATAGGGAACCCTATAGGTTCTATAGGGGGATCTATAGGTTCTATATGGAACTCTATAGGTCCCAAACTGAACTCTATGGGGCATATAGGATCCTATAGGATTCCTTTAGGTTCCTATATGATTCCTATATATTCCTTTTGGAATATATAGGAATCCTTTAAGACATTTTCGTAATGGAGCTAGCTTCCCTAATAATAACAACGTTCCACTTATATGTGCGAAGTGCGACCAACTTGCCAATCGCCGACTCTGCTGAATTTAGTGGCGATGAAACGGATCTGCCGAAGCGACTTAACGAGTTCTTCGGTCGGGGTAGAGACTTACTCTAGAGACGTATGATTTACAGGAGAAATTCAAGGTGACGAGAAGGAAAATAGAATCGAAGGAATGAATCTAAATTTCGAGAATGTGCGGGATAGACGTTTCCGTACCCGATTACTAATCACGCGATGCAAGCATTAGAATTCAGAGAGAGAGAGAGTGCGAGGATGCAACGCCTTCCAAGGACGAATATTGTATAAAATATAGCAATAGATAATCTTCCATGCAATCCATCGCCCATGGGACCATGGCTAGAACAGAGAAGATGGCAGCAGTCGACTGCAGTGTACCTGGAGGGAGAAAATGACGGTGCAGAAAAGACCCAACAAACGATTTGAAATGCGTGGCATGGAATCCGAACGGAATTAATTTTCGAGACGTCGAGGCATTGCAAGTCCAACACATTGTTAGCCTTCTTCGATGGGAGTGGGGGGGAGCGGTTACCATTCCAGATTTCCAATTTTCCTTCGATTGCGACTATGTGCGATGAAATGAGTTTTGGTTTTGCTACTGACACTCTACTCGGAAGTGATCTACTTTTTGCGCGAGGCATCAACAGATTGGGATATAACAAATGTCAAAACGAGGATTCGTCCCAGCTCCATTCCAGCACCATGGACCATCTGGGTATTCGGTCGGGTTCCGACAGAAATTGTGAGAAGGGAACAAGTCGTCAGGGAAAGAACTCCCCATGTCATCGTAAAACCACATGTCATTTTGGTTGTTTGGGAACCTGCTCGACCACGGCTGACATGGATATCCCGAAATCGTCACATTGTTTGTTCCCATGTACGTCAGACCTTTCTTGTCTACTTTGCATTCCTTTGGAGCTGGAAGAAAAATATTGTCATGGTGGCGTGCAATTCAATGTTGAAACATGTTCCATGAAGTAAAACGGCGGGAAAAACTTTCCACGAAAATGAATATGGTCCAGAAAATAAGACGTTCTCGATACTCACTTATGCATTCACCCGATACTCTGATACTGCATTGCTCTCCATCGCTCTTGGGGCAGAAGGGAACATCGCAATACTCCCATGTGGGCCCGTCGACCGATGACGTAGAACACCATGGACCTTGGAAGGAGTATGTGGGACTGCGACAGAAGTTGTGGCTCCCATCCACTTCATCGGAAAACGCCGAGAACAATTCGAATACTCGGTCGAAAAATCTGGGAAGCAGGGCTAGCCAATGCTGACAGGGTGATCCGGATATGGTGACGTTCTTTCTCCCCATGTATTCTCCCCCCTTTTCCGTCAGCTTGCATTCAGGTGGATCTACAAGACCAGAAAGCATCGTTCAAACCATCAGGGAGACAATTAACAAGCGTACATGGGGGATGCACATAGGGACGCACTTGGGTCGTGGCAGAAAGGGATGTTGCAGTACTCCCACTGGATCCGGGGATCGGAGACGAAACACCAAGGTTTCTTTCTATGCATTCCTGGGTTTCGACAGTAGTTCTTATGGAGAGACGACTCCATGTTCAGGAACTGTTGTGTGTAGCTCTTTACGAAGTTGAAATCCCACGGGGTACCATACGGTTGAGTGTCCCAAAAGAGGCAAGATTTTCCAGTCCTGGTCACGTTCTGAGTCCCCACGTATTCCTTCCCCTTCTGTGACAGTCGGCATTCTGGATACACGTTTTCCTTGGTTCCAGGTCGGAATTGTCGGAAATCGCAAAAGATGATGTCGCAATATTCGAATTTTGGACCATTCTCATCTCCGATCCAACACCAGGGAGCAATCGCTCTCCCGGAGTTCCGGCAGAAGTTGTAATTTTCGTCTATCTCTTCTGAATCTGGGATTGACGGCCCGATATCTTTATTTTCATCTTCTGCGAGTTTCCAGGGCAGGCAAGGAAAACCCGAATGGGTGACATTTTGTCTTCCAATGTATTCACCCCCCTGTTGCGTCATCTTGCACTCTGGGGGATCTGTGAAACAATTCGCGGGATAGTCATGAATTTATTGTCGAAACATAGTATCAAATGCGCCCATGTAATTGTGCCTAACGTATAATTTCCTAGATATTACCTCACCCAGATATTCTAAGTCGTTCTTAAAAAGTTATGAGGCAAGTCCTGTGGTTGACATAATGGTCTAATTGGCGCTGAGGTCATTTAAACACGCATCATTTCCTCTCTGAGACCTCTTATTCTTTAGTCGTTTTGTCTAATTGTCGAGAAACTGATGTCAAATATTGATTCTTGTTTCACTATTGATTTTGTTCGCAATGGGTGTTCATGTCATAAGCATATACAGTACAAAGCAAATATCTCCCGCCTGAAAATCTCGTAATTCCATTTCATTCTTATACTAAGACATTCTGGGAGGAGAATCATATCCTTCATCTCCACCCTGAAGTAGAAGCCTGAGGCTGGAATAACTACAATGGAATAGTGACCTGTATTCGTGCAAATGGGAATGTCGCAGTATTCCCATTGAACAGGAGGATCGGAGACGAAACACTACGGTCTGGTTCTTCCAGACAGGGATAGTGTTCTCTTTACAGTGTGTCTGAACGAATTTAATTTTCACGATAGTAGACTAAATTCATCGTTAATGTATATGGAAATCCTATTGACGACTTTCAGTCGGGGACCGTAACCACCTCATCAACGCCATATTTTAGTGATTAAAAAGTAGAATTAGATGCTTATTTTTGTTTTAAATTCTACTCTCCTAGATGGACATCATTTAATCATTTGGATGCAAAACAAGATTTTTTCACCGTTCAGGTTTTCACTGTTGCAAGAAAGGGTTAAAGCTTCAAAACGACAACGTGCTTCCCGCAAGGCGAATCAGCGAAGAAAAGCTGCCAAAAAAAAAATACTTTTTTTTTAAACCCTCACCATAAACCTAGGACTGACGCTACACTGCCCAACAGTTTAACCTATGTTATCTAATCTTTTATATAATTTCCATGGAATTGAAATAATTTTTCCAATATTGATAGACTCACAAAAAATCAGTCCTGGAACTTTATTACCACACCTCATGCAAATGAACCATCTCACCTCTGAAAACCCCTTCATTCCATTTCATGCTTAGACATTTTTAAAGACATTCTAGGCGGAGATACACATTCCTCCACCTCTTGAGTGGTCTGAAGCACGAGCCTGTGCCTGGAATAATTACAACGAAATAGTTACCTGTAATCGTGCACATGGGAATGTCGCAGTATTCCCATTGAACAGAAGGATCGGAGACGAAACACCAAGGTCTGGCTCGACCAGATGGATTCCGGCAGTAGTTCCCATGAGACCAAGTATCCATATTTGTGAAACGGTCTTTATAGATGCCAAGAAAGTCATTTGGTACTCCATATGGCTGGAAGAACCATGCCAAGCATTCTTTGCCCGATTCCGTCTTGTTCTCCCTCCCCACGTACTCTCTTCCCTTTTCTGTCAGCCGGCATTCTGGGTATGTATGCTGCAGCTTCTCACCTGCGAATTCGTTTTTTCTCAATGTGATATCTCTTACCATGACCTTTCCAGGGATCGTGTTTTCTTAACACTGTGTATCTAAAGGAATTCAATTTTCACGATAGGAGACATAATTCATGGTACAAGTATTTGGAAATCCTATTGAGGATTTTCAGTCGGTGACCGTAACCACATCATCAAGCCTTATTTTAGTGATTAAATGGAAGTATTAGATGCTTTTTTTAAATTATACTCTCTTGATGGACATCATTTAATCATTTGCACGCAAAACAAGGCATTTTCAACATTCAGGTTTTCAGGATTTCTAGAAAGGGCTGATGCTCATCTCCTAAACGGCATCGTGCTTCCCGCAAGGCGAATCAGCGAAGGAAAGCTAGCAAAATTCCTTTCTTTTAAACCCTCACAATCTGATTCTGTTTTGAGCAACTGCGAGTAATCATCATATATGAATCGATTAATCCCTTTTGAGCCTTAAACATCCAGGGAAGACAAGTTCGTGTTTGCAGACGAACAACTATAACGAACATCGCTCAGTTCATCGAATCAAGCAGATAATAATCCTCTTTAAATAAGGAAGCAAGACGTTCGCCTCGAGAGGTCACGTGCAACTTAACATTGATTCGACCGTATACTCGAAAATGCCCTCTGGTATGGATCATTCCAAATATGGAATTTTTTAATTCATGAGCAAATTATTTATGTTTCATTTGGTGAATTCCAAAGTATACTATTTCCATATTTACTCACCTCAAATGCCAAGTGTTTCGTGGTAATTATTGCTTCAAATGCTGATAGAAATGTTGACTTCATACTACCCAGGTGATTATCCTATTATCATCCAATTATTATCATCATAGGACTCCAAAGATTGAGATGGGAGTATCTACGAGGCAGACCTGGACGATAAGAAAGAACACGAGAGCCTTACATTGAATCGGGCCCCCTTTGAAGGACGTGCACCAAGAGTCCGGCGATTCGGAGCCGCAAGTGGCCGTTTGGAGACGAGAGCCATCGCTGAATCCCTTGGGATTCTCGCAGCGGAACCTGACCTTTCCTCCCTGAGGCGCTGGGTATTTTCCGGTCCAGCCCTCAAAGGACACCGTGGCATTCGGGATCGTCGGATGCTCTCTCAGGCACAACCCTGCGTTTCGGGAGATTTAGTCGATCATCTTGCGCATGAAACAAAGAAGGAAATGTTTACTCACACTGAACGTAGGACATGTAGCCCCTGGCTTCTATGAGGTGGTTCTTCCCATCGGTTATTAGCTGGCACGAACCGTCCGATTCACGATAGTTGTAAGCATTGCAGGGTTCTGACGATTCATCGGGAGTGAAACGCGTCATCGCACATTTCCTGTTGCATTCTAGAAGAGTCGGTTCGATGGATTCCGACGAAACCCTCTCATATCTCTGACCCAAGTGAACCGCATGATGGTGGATAAAATCCACGGAAGCGACACCGTGCACGAAGAGCAAACACGTCCTCAAAGCCATCACGATCGTTCTAATGAAACTTGCCGTTCCTAGAAGCGAGTGACTTAGTTTCTGATCCGAGGACGATAAGGGACCGACTGGAACGTCATCTGGAACACGGCCTTAAGATGGAATGCATCGACCGCAGCGCAAGTCGAGCACGAGTATGGATTCAAACTGTTGCGTGGATTTCCCTCGTCTGTTTGCTCTCTGGTGGAGGGCTCCTTGTTCGCGCTTCGTATGCACACGTCAAGTCGGTCGGCGCATGATGGATTGTGCAGGATTCCTAATATTTGGGCGCTGGGATGTTTTGCGGGCAGGGTGGTTGAAATGCCGTCGAATATCAATTTTAAAATACGATCTTTTTAAGAATTTCAAGGAAAGATGTAGAGATGCTCCAGTTCACGTTTCCTTAGAAAAGTTCTGTACCGTGCATTTGGGTTCGGTCGAAGAGTTTTCTTCCTGCAAAGGAGATCAAAGTGAATCGTCTGGAATTGAAATTCTTGCAATCGTGTTCTGAATTTCGACCGGACACACTGATGAATATTTCGGAACGAGAGGTTTGGGGAGGAAGCCTCGGTTCGGGAGAAGGAGGGCTCGTTAACTCCTTCCTGGTAAGCGACAATGTTAAGGAATAGCGACAGTCGGACATTCTGGATGAACATTCTTCAGTGTGCCTGCTCCGATTCGTCCGAAATCGCAGGAGGGGAATGTCGCAATTCTCCCGCGGTGGAAGTTTCCCCCGCCTCCGTTGATGTGACCCCAGGGAAGCCTCTGCTGGATCTGGATGGCGACAGAGATTGTGATGTTCGTGGATGAAGCCGGGAATCCTTGGCAAGTACCTCGCAGTTTTTTTCCAGAGGAAAAAGCCTGGGTTGGGGAATTCCCTTCCTTATATGCGACCACCAGTCAATACCAGCCAAATTGGTTGGTTTAAATAAGTGCTAAATATGCCAAAATACTGTATACGGTCTGACGAAGGGACACTCCAACCCTCTTACCCTCGTGAAGACAAACACCTGAGTGAAAGAAAAGGAACCTGTTGGGTAGGTCCCGCCGAGATTTGAAATCTGATCGCTGGATTCAAAATCCAAATTGCTAACCATTACACCATGGGACCTCACTAGATAAACGCGCTGTTTTAATGCATTCTCGAATGAGTTGCAGCTAGCTAAGGACTCCTTTCTATTTGCCTTTCCCATAGAAACTATCGGAAAATGGCAAGAGACACCGCCTTGTTATTGGCGAGACGATCCCCCGCATTGGAAGTGGATAGGCGCCTTCATCGACGCCCACGCCTGCCTTGGAGGGCACAGAGAGAAAACTCCATATTTTTTATTCGGAATGATTTGCTTCTTCAGGCTCCCACTGGCTTGCAGGTGTCGCTCTAAACTTTTAAAATCGAATTCCTGCCCTAGGACCTGGTCCATTTTTTCTCTCTGCTCGGATTCGGCCATGCTCGACGTGATGAAACGTCTCCTCGCGTCTCGGAACCAACATCTTTTTCCGAGCATGTTCAATATGTCCGTGAATTATCTCATCCGGAAGGAAGAAAGATTCTGCGAATCAACTAACCGCATGCGAACGAAGTCGAATCCGCATAAGATCGAACGAGCGTAATCTCGGAAAAATAGTTGCAAATTTGTCGGCGTTTCGCTAGAATAATCCTGGCTCGGTTTCGATCAACTTGAATCCACGAAACAGTGTAGGAGGTACTTATTAAGAATCACCTTGCTAATCAGGTCGGATGGATGAACTTGCACGCATGTCTTGAAGTAAGGGTTATAAAAGACCGCGCGAGCGAGAAGAGAGAGGGAGCGCAGAGAGAGAGAGGGGGAGAGAGTAGAGCAGGGTAGTCAGATCGAGCAATGTAGAGGGAGTGATTGTGTGTAGGAGTGTGTGTCAAGGTAGTAGTTGGATCGAGAGCCATGTAGTCAGAACA